AAAGCGATTATTAAATGCACAATTCCATTCAGTGACACTAGAAACTATGTACTTAACATTCAATTCAGTGTCAAGGTTTCTTGCACCAAAAACTTTGTACTTTAGTTCTTTGTGACCATTTTCCAACCTTTCTCCAAACTTTTGAGTGAAACGGGCTTTTTTTGCTACTGTACCTTTAAGACTATGTAAATGAGCTATGTTGTGATTGGCTAGCCATTCATGAGCTCATCTTGGTGTGTTCTTGAGAAAAGTAGCAATGTCTGATTCATGAATACTTAATTCTTTAAGATCTCGTCGATCAGAGAGTCCGATTTTGTCAATGAATCAGTTGATTCAGTTCGCAAACCCATCTGAATGATTCATTCACAAATCTGAGTGACTCACAGCGATTAATGACTTAAATTACATTTTTACAACAGTTGTATGATGTGTCTGCATTCTTAATTGAAGCTACAAAGCTTCACTTCCTGTTCACTGCAGTTTCCTAGAGAATAGTAAATTACTTTCTTGTTAAATTATTTTTTTTAATGTGTTCTGCAGAAGAAAGGAAGTCACAAAGGTGTGCAATGAGATTTGGATGGAATGAAAATTAAATTTTTGGGGTGTACTGTCCCTTTTAAGGGATATTTTTCTTCAGCTATATAGTATTTTTCTCTCTAGAAAACTTGAAATATACTTAGCATTCCATTTATAATGTCAAGGTTTCTTGCACCAAAAATATTGTAAATTAGCTCATGACTATTTCCAACCTTTCTCTGAGTTTTTAAATTAAACATACTTGTAAAGGTACAGTAGCAAAACAGTCTATGTAAATGAGCTCTGTTATGATTGGCTAACTGTTTATAAGCTCGGTCTTGGTGTGTTTGTGAAAAAAAGTCTGATTCATGAATAAATCATTCTTTTAGATCTTGTCAATAAGAGAGTCAAATTTTGTTAATGAATCAGCTGATTCAGTTCGCAAACCCATCTGAATGATTCATTCACAAATCTGAGTGACTCACAGCGATTAATGACTTAAATTACATTTTTACAACAGTTGTATGATGTGTCTGCATTCTTAATTGAAGCTACAAAGCTTCACTTCCTGTTCACTGCAGTTTCCTAGAGAATAGTAAATTA